GTATATGATGACCTTGATCCGCTTAAGACGTGTGCGAAGTTTTAGGCGAATGACGTCATCGGACCGGAAGTTATAATAAAAAGACCCTTTTTCATTTGAAAATTCCTGAAAAATCAACCATGGCAGTTTTTATGTTAGTTTTTACTTTAATTGTCGATTTAAGGGTAGGTCTAAAACATTTCAAAGCTTCGAGGCAATAAGCGAACTCGGACATGCCCTGCGCACGCTTAAAACTACAGGTTAACAACACCTCTGCTCTAAAACATGCACAGAACGTCTATATGTACATACATGTACGTTACGCACATACATCCTATGTCAGTCAGCCTGCAGAGCACGTGTTGCCGAGGTCAAATCCTGTCCACATCACAGTGACCGTTTTAGCCGATTTTCGGCTAACTTTGACAGATTTTATGTTCATGCATGCGCATAGTCAGGGACGTATAATAAAAAATCAGAATGCCGAAAAGCCCTATGTTACGTATTTAAAGGTGCAGTTTTTCTGCAGTGGGATTTTCCACAAGTCTTTTCCTATACAACACTGATATCTTACTGAGTAGTTCTGAACTTCAGCCGAGAATTACTATGAGAAGGAAATAGAAATCGTACTTTTTTTCGCACTGTCATTCGATTGAACATATTCCTAAGGGTCAGAATATCAAGTCATATTTCATAAAAATGTTTCAGTTCAAAGGCAATTTACAAATTTAAAGGTGCAATTTTTCTGCAGTGGGATTTTTTTTAGCCCGTTAACTTTGTACACGTGTTAGCCCATTGACTTTGTACACGTTTTCAAGCCACCATTTCTATAACTTGGCGATCTGGAATCGTCATCAATGTTACAGCCAAGGAAGACCCTCATACAAAAATTATGCCAAGACTATGACGTCATGATGACGTCATCACCTAATTTTTTTTATTGATTTTTGAAAATTGACGTGCATATTATGAAGTCCTATATCTACAGAACTGTAAGTCTGATTGGGTTGAAACTTGGTATGTGGCTAGACCGGGATGTGTTATAGGTAAAAAAAAAAATTAAGTGACGCCATGATGACGTCATCCGGAGATTTTATATGAATATTTGAAGTTTTTGACCTTTTAGCCATATCTCATGAACGTAACATGCAAAATTCAAAATTCTTTGTGTATTTGGTCTGTTAGGTAAAAGGTATTTGCACAACATTTTGAACAAAATATCTGACATCATTATGACGTCATAAAAATGTGATTTTTCAAAATACATATAAGGAAAGGTCTGACTGTCATAAAACTTAGTGGGTAGGTAAATAATGGTACTAGTATACAAAGTTTAAAGTGACGTCACGATGACGTCATCGTGTGTTTTTTATAATTTTTAGATATTTATAATTTAATTCTGCTTCCACAAATTACACACTTTCTTTCATCGGATTGACATTCAACTTGGTTCAAACCAAAATCACAATGACAAAGTGTGCATTGAGAAGGGTCTTAAGGATGACGTCATTGCAGGGCAAGTGACATCATTTGATAAAATTATACTTTACGAATTATTCTAAGCGTTTTGAACAACCTTTAACTGCATGAAGCAAACTGACTGCAAAAGGACAAACGAAACAAATATTTGTAAAATGCGAAAAAGCCCTGTGTTCTGTTTGCAAACAGACATACAGCTCTAGTTTCTTCTTACAATTCTTAAAATTCAGCGTTATGTATGCCAACAGAGGAAAGACAATTTCAAGATGTTTACTTTGTTGTGATTAATTGACCATTGTACAGAAAGGTGTAAGGGAAATAAATATTACTTGTGGGTTTAAGGTAACGATTAGGAGTATCTGCGCAATTAACATTTTCAAATTGTACTTTTATTTCAAAAATATTTAGGCCCACTTTTGGGGGGACAAAATGTATATTGACACCAGCCATATGAATACATTTTGTCCAAATGGTACGTGGAAAATTATAGGTCTACAAGAGACGGCGAGAAAAGCTATTTTCCTTCTTTAAAAATCCGATTTTGATTTTGGGAAGAGTCCGGTCAATTTAAGTTAAAACCTAGAACAAATTGCAATAGAAACCATTCAAGCGTCAAACAACTTCAAATAAAATACAAACAACATGTTAAAAATCTTATTGTTTCTAGGGAGTGGAAAGGTGTTTTCAAGCATATTTTTGAGATTAAAATTTGGGACATTTTGTCCTCGAACAGTTTGTCTGGTGACTTGCTTCGATTTGCATTCCTATATATAAGCTAATGTTTAGGATTCATGACCACGGGAAGTCTAAAAAACAGTGCATGCATGAACCATTTTCAAAGTAAAGCCGAAAAATCTTTATTTAAAGATTATTGATTTGAGCGCCTGAAAATGATTTATTGGATTTAGGCTAGTTGGATTTGGTTAAGAGCATTTCAGGAAGTACTGGGTTCAGGTTGTGATGCTTACAGTACATTTGTTAGTACATGAAAATATGAAACAAAACATCTCAAAACACTTTGGTCACAATTAGAACAAAGAATTCTGTGAGGTTGATGAGAAACAGATGTAATTCTGTACATGAGCTTTGCATGTACGTCACACATTTTTTTCATTAATTACATTTTGTAATTTAAACAGCTAAATTGTGAAGACCGTGATCGAGGTATGAAAATTGATTGAGATAATCAGCTTCTTGACAGTTCAAGAGTGGAATGCACTACTCCAGAAAAGCATACTTGAGTCCCGACGAAAGAAATGATTCTTTGGATGGAAAAGACCTCGCGTTGTTATTACTTTTAAAAATGATATCAATGGCATGGTCCACAACCCCCCCCCCCCCCCCCCCCCCTCCCGGCCTAAGGCTTTGATCTGGGGCACGTATGTTATTTTAAGAGGTTATACACTTGTCACACTGCGTAATTTCTTTTCTCTAAAGCCCAGAAATCAGCTAAAGATTTAATCCAGTTAATTTGTGTTCATTAATTTTTAATTTATAGGTTATTTCTAAGTTATGCCAGTAACCTAATTCAACACAAAACGAACACACAAATCTGGGATTTCGGATGTTTTCCCTAATATTTAAATTTCGACCCCAGCCTATTGGCGTAGACACTTACATTTTAAATTGAGAGTGTATATCATTTCCCGGCCTCATTTCAAGTAGACCTGTTTATGCAAAGATTTTCCATGAAATAAATGGTTTATTGAGCAAAAAGTAATTTATTTTAACCAACAAATAATTCGGCAGAATTTTTTTTCTTCAATTTCTTGATTTTTTTCAAGTAATTATCCTATAGTATTTGGCGACAGTGTAAAGTATAAATTGTAATAATAGGTGGACATAGAAAAGTCATCTGCTGTGATCAGTCGTGTCTCGCAAAGTCTCATACGTGATGTGAAAGGATTTTCTGACGGGTAACGGACGCAAAAGAAAACATGACACCCTCCATACGACGGGTGATGACAAATTAGTAGCGAAAAAGTGAATAAAAGCACTTTTCCACTCCTTTGATGAAATTAGATTTTCAGTACATTAAATATTGATGTTTCCATAGCGTGATAATATTAAAATAAAATATATTGCAATTTGTTCTAGATCAGGCCCCAGGGCATCTGGTTATTGGGCGGGTTTGTAAATAACAATGTGCACTTTCAACAATTACCAATCCGTTCTGAATTGAAGAGAACAGTCGTCTTTTGCTCCCCAATATTCAACAAGCCTAAATTTTCGGTGTCGTACTGGAGATGAAAGGCTGATAGATGATAAAATAAATACTGGAACTGGTCATGATTTACTGGTACCCAGCAGATTATCATCTACTGGGTTAATCATTAAAGAGTGGAAGATTTCACTCTACCAAAAATCGATGCTTCAAAGTAATATTTGCTTATAGAACCCCTCATTGCTTGCTGAAGTGAAGGGGCGATATCTGGACCAATGTCCTTGCATGTCACAGGCAAGCAGTTAGGTCCAAGATGTCTGTAAATAAAAGAATACACACAAGAGAGAGAAAACAACTACAGCGTGTGTCAATAAAAACGCAGGATTCAAAGCGATTTTTTTTCTGAGAAAATTATGCTACTGGTGTGCCTAATTTGATAAGGATTTGATTGTCCATAATTTCATCTTTGACAAGAGTTTTGTTTGGTGGAATTTGGACTTTTGGTTCAAAAGTTATGACAAGTTTTGTGAAGCCCTTCTGAAGCGGGTTGGTCTGATTCAATGACCTTAACACAACGACCAGTTATGCAGGTATTCATTGAAGACAATTAAACCAGAACAAAATTTTCTTTGAAACAACTGATGATAAGTATCACTTAAATTTAATAACTGGACTATCATTGTTTCAAAGCATCATGAATTATTGACTAATAACATTGATTGTGGACTAAAGGATTATGTAAGCCTAATCCTGCCACACATGTCCTTCTTTGTGATCCACAAATACTCGTTTCACCTGTACTGAATTCAAACCTTTCATTATCATTAGGTATGTGTGATTAGGTATGTGTGATTTCACAAATCAGACCAGCTTGGAATTTATAACCCTTCTTCAATGTACTCTATCTCTGGACAGGATTGTCCAAATGAGATGGGATAAAAAGCATAGTGAAGAGAAGGAAAGGTACTTTGAAAAGAGGGTTAACATTATGATGAATAGGGGTGGTTTATATTCTTAATATTTTTGTTTCTAATCCTGCGTTTTCATTGACACACGCTGTATAACGAAAAGTGAGGGGAAATGAAACTGGACGAAGTAAAGCAGTAAGTGAGATAGATCTTTACACTCGGCATTGCGTGCAAGAACCTGAATTGACTCGCCTAGCCAGAAGAAATGGTTAAATAACGACTTGCGTCTAAAATAGAGCGTGTTTAAGATTTTTGGAAAGTTAAATCTTGCCTCGGTAACTTTAAAGGGTTGGTTTTAACTTCATATTTGTAGCCTTAAACATGTCAATAATAAATTTAGAGGGGTTACCATTTCCGTGAAAGTTTGTATACTGCGTTAGCAAAATGTCTCATCAAGGTTGTTCTCCCTTTGTTTTTGTTTTTTCTTCTTCTCTCCAGTGGTTCATAGAGCTGAAAGATATCAAAGAGTACAAAACCAAGAAGGATATTTTTATGCTTGCGGAGTATGGTAAGTACTGGAGCTGATTACTTATCTCATTTTGGTTCCATATTCACACATGTGGTTTGTGCAATCTTTTAGAAAGCTTTTCTGAATTAAAAACAAAAATTAACTGGAAATTGAAGCATAGCACAGCTGCTATTTTGGCTTCCACTATTTTTTCTTTGTGGATTGTTGTGATAATGGATTAGTATTGTGCTGTTTTTATATATGACCCTGTGAAACAGCTTGCACTGCCCTTCCAAGAAAATGGTATTGTCCACCATCGTTACAATGCAAATGAATGTCCACTAAACTGTGTTAAATTGCGGAGGAACCATTTGAGTGGGTCAGCTCCCGAGTTCACACAGGGAGAGCAGCATGATTCGTTCCTCCAGTAATATAGTAGGAATCTTAATATATTTTAGGTAAGTTCTTTACATAATTTTGTATTATCAGGCTTATTAGTGTATACTTAAAGGCTTGCAGCTTGTGCCAAACTTTGCTGAATTTGAAGTTGGGTGCCTTGCAGAGAGACCTCTCTTTTAAACGTATCCTCCAAAGCCCATTTGGCTGGTACTGCAGAATGACTGGTGCTGCTGCTGACGCCATGATGTCACCTGTGTGGAGTTGTGCAATGAAACATCTGTGACTGTGCCAGGGCAAGTCATTACATACATCAGCCAGTGCACAACTGTAGACTTCACAATTGGGAGATGAGGTTTGAATTTAAGATAAAACCACTTCTGTTTCTTTCTGTTTCTGTGCCTTAAAGAGGTTCTGGCTTTGATTGACATCCCTATGGAGTTCCTGAAGAAATTAGACGAAGATGCTGCAAAAATTGTGTAACAATTCGGCGCTTTTAACCGTTGCCAAAGGACTGGGGAAAAAAAGCGGTTTCAGCTCTTTGCCAAACAAAGGAAATATAACCAAATGTAAGACCAGCAGGACCATTGCCTTAATGCCCCATGTAAGTAAGATGTAAATGCACATCATCAGTGACAGGCTGAGATCACATTTTCCTACGGAACAAGCTGGATTTCCGAAGAGGCCATGGAACACATTGCAAGTTTTTGTCACATCATGGAGTAATGCCATGAATGTAGAAGGAACCTTTGGCTGTGTTTCATTGACCACAGCAAAGCTTTTAACTTTGTGCAGCTCAATTACTTTGTGGACTTGCCCTGAAAGAAATTGAAATCCCTTGTCATTAAATCCAGCTAATCATCTTTACGGTGGACATCAGTCAGGGTGTGAGGCAAGGTTGTATCTATCTACATCTATCTTAAACCTTTATCCTGACTACATTATGATACGAGCACTGGACAATTGGACTGATGGTCTGTCGATGTGAAAGCTCAGCAGACTGTATTATATGCTCATGCTACTGCACTTTATTTGCCTCATCCGTGCTCAACATGAGAGAACATACGGGTAGAGTAAAAAGAAAGTAAAATGGAGCCCTGCACCTGTGTTTCAGTGTTCCCAAAACTAAGCTGGTGATTGGCTAGACGGAAGCTGAAGATCTACTCCTCGTTGATATGGCCAGGTACATCAACTAACTTCCTTGGTGGCATGATATCTGCTGAAGGTGGCTGTAGAAAAAGATTGTAAATGCAAGGGTCTGGCTGCTAAACTACATAGATTAGTGGCTGTTAATGAATTGATTGTTGGTTGGTTTAATCATCCACTCCGTTATTTGTTAGAACACTTGTGGGGCTTGAGCTGCCATTCGATATGGTCTTTTAAAATTTCTGATCAAGGCGCCGTAAGTAATTTTGAACTACAAGATACATAACTCCGGACACCAGGTTTCACTCTTGTGCTTTGCAAATGCCTTGGAGTTGTAGGCAGATGCACACTTGTGTGTACGTGTTTAAGTAATTAATTGAGATTCGAAAGTGGAAAAACTTGTCCTTTTGCCTATTCCGTTTCAAATTCTGTATCGAATTAGGCAGGACTTAAACCCCCCATCCAAAATCCAAAACAGAACAAAGAAAACAAAACCCATCCCTTTTTGCCTGTGACATCATTTTTTCCCTATTGTTGTGTACATTGTTGTCTCATTTGTGTACATTGTTGTCTCATTTGTTTGCAAGCATTTATGTTGGCCAACTGTTATTGCATATTAGTTGGGGAGGACTGTAGGGTTCCCATGTACCCCTGGACATATTTTCTAAACCTACTTTTTTGTAATCCAAAAGGTATCCTGAAATAGAACTTTTTTGTTCCCCAGATCATATGTTGTTTCATGGGGTTCATTTGGCGGCCATCTTGGATTTCGACGAAAATCGATTATTGACATGAGTTTTGTAACGGGGATCTAAGAATGACAAAATTTAATGACAAATGAACACGTTTTTCGGAGTAATTTGGGTGTCGGGAATCAATTGAAAATCAGGAGTGGAACCACTCAGACTGCCTCGTAGCCAGCAAAGCGAAGCTCGTACCCAGAGAGGACTCGGCACTTTGTCGACAGTCTTGATGTGGCTCTGGCAGAACCTACAGGCGGTGATGACACTTTACAGGAATCTGATTGGCCCCACTTGGTCGATGGTCTAAACCTCGCCCACTTCTTCAAACAGGAAGAGAAGGACGTAAGGACGCCGAGTCAAACTTGGAAGAAATAGAATCAGTGACAAATAGCCAAAAGAAGCCATCCAAGACCTGCCAGTCATGGGAGAGGCTAGACATCCACACTGCCCTCACAACTGGAAGAGTTCAGAAAAGCCACAGGCTGCCTTGCTTGTTGACGGTATCCTACCCTGACGGTATCCTTCCCTGAAGTCCTAATAACCAGTGCTGCTGCGTCGCCTTCATGAACTCCTCTGCCTCTGCTGGGAAAAGGGCAACATTCCACAGGGATATGCGTGATGCAAACAACGTCACTTTGTACAGAAAGAAGGGCAATAGCTGCGATTGTAAAACCTATCGCAGAATCTCTCAGCTCAGCTTAGTCGGAAAGGTCTTCTCACGCATTGTCCTGACCCGTCTACAGAGCCTCACGTCACGTGTCAACCAGGAGTAGCAGTGTGGCATTAGAGCGGGCAGACCCACTGTGGATATATTCTCACTTCGCCAGTTGCAGGAGAAGTTTCAGGAGCAGCAAATGCCACTCTATACTGCTTTCATAGACCTGACAAAAGGTTTAGGAACTGGTCAGCAGTTAGTGGGCTCTTCAAACTGCTGCAGGGGATCGGCTGCCACCCTAGGGATGGGCATGATACCATCCTTCCACGAGGGCGTGAACTTCAACGGTGTAACATAAGATACCTTCCCATTGAGAAGTAAAGTAAAATAGGGCTGCGTACGTGTTGGCTCCCACTCTCTTTGGTATGCTCTTCTTATAATGTGCCTAGTACCTACGCTTTTGGAGGCTGCACCAGTTTGCATACCCAAGTTGATGATGCATTGGTTGGCGTCCCACAATAAAGCCCCACTCCAGCGGCTCATCGATTGTCCCGCGCCTGCAATCAATTTTGGGCCGACCATCAACATGATAAAGACCAATATCATGACCCAGAACATTGTAGACTGCCATCACCACCAACGGACACGTTCTTTAGGGGGTAGATACCTTGACCTACCTCGTATCAGCCATCTCCAACACACTGTCTCTTGACACAGAGCTCAACAGCAGAATAGCCAAGCATCACGTGACTGTGCACACCAAGATGCAAGTGTACCAGGCCTGTGTTCTCAGGGCACTCGGCTGTGAAACCTAAACACCCTATGCCGGTCAGGGAGAAGAGACTAAACAGCTTCCACTTCCGATGCCTCAGACGCATGCTCTGCATAAGCTGGCAGGATTAAGTGACCAACACGGAGGTTTTAGAGCATGCACGTTTGCTTACCTAGGCATGGAGACGTCTTTAATAGCTTGGGCTATGTCAAGAGGATGGTCGGCGCCTAAAATGATCGATAGGAATAGGCCGCGTGCAGGAAGGTGTCGAGGTTGGCCGACGATGCTAGAAATCTTCCTGACTGACAAAGGGAGCCACACAAAAGGCGGGTATGTTCATCTCAGGCGCCCTCATCCTTGACCTGCACTCGCTGTGATAGAGACTGCCACTCAAGAGTGGGTCTTTGCAATTCATAATAGAATGTGCGTGATAGCTAAACTTCTTTGGTTGTGCTACAACCATCGTCAGCTATGACGTAGTGTTTGCCATAGTAGTAGTACTATTCCAGTGGAAAGGAATAGTGGAAGAGCATCAATAGATTGATTATGATGAGTATTAGAGATTGATTACGAACAAGAAATTGTTCTAATACACTTGTCTTCTTCAGCGACATGAGAAGCTAGAGAAGTGGTCATCAATGACATTTCATCGTCATACTGAACGTCTTAGTCGTAATCTTAAAAAATTAAAAAAAACTCGTCATAACCAATCTCCCTTGATGCTCTTCCACTTTTCATCTTCCGCCTCCTCAACAGTTTTCTGGTGCGAAGTCAGTGAGTAAAAGGGAAGGGATGGCCGCACCATACTGGCATGATTATTCACATCCGCACTCAGCATTTCCAGCTACAAGACTAAGCCTACACCTTAATTGGGCTTCGTATAATGCCTAGTTCAAAATAACAGATTTTCGTCGAAGCCCAAGATGGCCGCCAAATAAAACCCAATGGTATGAGATTTTATCTTGCTTACATCAAAAATCATTTACTAAACTCCATAATCGTATGTTGGAAAAATGTATCCAGGGGTGCATGGAAACCCTATCTTCCTGCTAGATTTTTTTTAGTGTAATAAAGAACTGCACTCAACCTTCCACTTTTTGTTTCACTCAAAAAGCACCTCTCGCTCAAATAGCGACTAATCGGTACAGAATTTCCTTAGCAATCTAGCCAATACCCTTTATTTGAGCCAAAACAGTGGCAATTCATGACAAATGATACCGAAAACAGTTGCACTTTCTAATACGTGCAAAGCTGGGGTTCAACACGCACCCTGCACGTATACAAAAAAAGTGTACCTTTTTTTTCAGTACCATTTGTCATAAATTGCATAATTTTGTACACATTAGTTTTTGGGTCTAACAAGGGGTATGACTGAATTGCTATGGAATTGCTGTACTGATCAGTCGTTAGTCGCAAGATGTGCCCAGTAGTTTTTGAGTGAGACAAACAGTATTAAGATTTGTTTTTTCTTTTTTGGTTGAGTGTAGTTCATAATGGTTTGCAATACACGTACGAAAATCAAGAACGTGTGCCAACAATTTTGTTTCACAGACCCGAAACTCAAGGAAACAGTTCGTCATAAGTTTCAGTCTAATATGGCACATGACATTGGATATGCCATGTTGTGTGTGTTTTCCTACATTGCCGCAGCTAGAAGTGCAGACAGTCATACACGAAAGGAATTGGAAGCAAGGATGGCAGGACGTCGACGCCAATTTCTTCACTCTCCTTGAGCAGTGTTGTGGTTTCGTATCACATTCTGCTTGTTTCTTTGTTGATTGTTACTAGGGTTATTCAATCATGACAATGTAATGTAAATTATAAGGGTGTTTGTAGAAAACAAAGTATACTTGTATGTTAAGTTAAAATGTCTTCCCGGACCTCCAAAAGCTCTCTTTTTTCGGGGTTGAATAATTAACTTTGTGCGTGTTCATAAAGTTATTGTAACATTTGGTGATAAGTGCAATTACATGTAAAGGCACGGTGAGTTTTCGACCCTCCCAAGTCTACTTGCACTCATAGAGCTATATTAAATACTAGAGCGCTGACACATGTACAAAGTGATGCCTGCTGGGCGTCTCAGTGTTTGTGCACAAACCTATAGAAAACTCGAATTTTGTACAGCTGTTTACATAACTGCGTTTGCAGTATATACAGGTTACCGAACGATCAGCAAACGAGCGTTTCATTTTGCTCTGAACAAACGGTGCAACGCGTGTGCGTATCCGCTGGAGATGCTTTTTGCCGTGACGTTTTTTTAACCGTCATGAAGCAATAACTCAGTTACTTGCACTCTACTTGCCCGTAGAACAACTACCAATGCATATTTATCTGGAGATTCGCTTGGAGTTCTCACACACAGTCTTACCAACTATGCATGCTCTGCGGTGTACTCACATGTAATTCCTCAAAAGTTACGTTAAGCTACATACTTACCCTCCGATGCCTCTAATCAATGAGGCCCAGCTTCTTCCCCTAATGCCCAACAATTTGCTGTCTGTGACGAATACAGACGACGTTGGAAGGGGAATTTTCTTACTTTATCCCCGCGGGTTGACGGCGTGTTAATTTTTGTCGGTTTACCGATGATTTGCAATATTCTTCGTCAGAATTATTTCGGAATGCCCCAGCCCTCATCCGAGTCCCTTCGGAACCTGTCGCCAAAGCAAGCAAGGAACGCTACTCCAAATGAAAAATAATACGCCGAAACGAACGAGCTGAGTTTATTTCCGCTGCCGACTTCATTGTAAGCTTGTAAGGTACAACATCACGAACCCCACCACTGAGTCATGTCGCCACTAACTGGGCACTCTTTCCAATATTGCACCAAGCATGGGGCGACTTGCCCAGTTCCCTCGGACGCCCCATACAGACTTGACCATGGAAGGGCTGATAAATGACAAGCCACTCCTCGGAACACTTTCACTCAATTTTGCGGTACCACCAAAATCAATTTTGGTTTTTGTCTCTATTTTTTTTCCAGACAAGAAAGTTTACTCCAGGTTTAAGATGACGAACATTACGTTTTCCCATTACGGCCGTGGGGCCGTCTCCAAAACTTAATGTGGATTGTCGCCGATCGCAGGTGTTCCAAACACAATAATTTTGGAAGCAAGGATTCAATCCTACCTAACGCATTGCTGTACTTACAGATCAGGTCTGAGAAGAATCAACATGTTTTTCAATCGACTTTTTGTCACTCATCAAAGAAGGTGGAATATGGCGGAACATCTTAAATCTGAATATTTTAATCAAATCGCTCAGTAGTCGGTCGGATGTACTTGTAGCTATAGGTGTCTCAAATCCTGTCAATTGGCATTAAATTCCCAAATTGTTTCAAAGAAACATGACCTTGTATGCCTCCCTGTCGGGCTAGGAAGCCACATTAAATCCTTGTCGAATAGTGAGAATGTGGCAGAAAGCTGCTCATAACGAAAGAAGGTCACAAAGGTGATGATCAGCTTGTAACTGGGTTGAATGAATGGTCGAGTGTTGCTGAAAGATAAACCAGTCATACTGTTGTGTTAAAGGTGCTTTTTTTTCGCGGGAGTTTGAAAACCTTGGACATCTTTTTTAAGCACCTGGACAAGGTGACATTGGTATATACCCAGACATTTTGGACTTTGATCCTAAAGGATTGGAACAGGGAGGGCTACTACTGACCAAATTTTCACTTTTAGTTATCTAAGTGAGAAATACCTGGAAAAACACAGGAACCTCTATTGCTGCCACATCGACTTCCAAAAAGCATTTGATTTGGTTTGGCAGAGGGGCCTATGGAAGGCCAATGGCCTTCTTTGGATACCAAAAGCAAGCTGATATGAATGTTGCATGCACTTGACAAGCCATCGCAGAGTAAATGGCGAGCTCACAGCGTAGTTCAAGTTCCTTCTGGAACTAGTTGTGCTTACGGCCACGTTAAAGAATGCAACTCACAAAGATACCCCCAAAATGGTACTAGAAGGCAATGTCAAAGGAGATTAGACCCAGAGGCCGTCCACCAAAACGATGGCTTGACTGCAAGATCAATCCAAAGAAATAACAGCAGCAAGGTTGGCTACGGACAGGAAAGTTTAGCACAACATCGCCATGCAGAAGCCATCACGAGGTCTCCTTTCCTGCGTGGACGGCATTAATCAAGCCAAGTCTTCTTCGGCCGATCTCACGAAACTTGTCTTGTCTTCCTTCTCATCTGAGGACTAAAGACGAGTCCCAGCTCTGCGATGGATCCTAGCGGATGTCTTAGCGTTTCGTGAAATCGGCCCCCCTGAAGGGCCTGCAGAAAGGTTTCCGAGATTTGAGGCGCATTCTAAGTAGACTACAGTTCTTTCAGCGTCCGTTCTTTTCTGCGTAAGCCTAGAGGATTGATGTCATCCTTTGTGGTGGACATTTATCCAACGAAAGACGCTGCAACTATAATAACATTGCAAAACGGCCAAATTCGACGGAAATCTCTGGATCCAGTCATGGCAACTGTAAACCAAGCAAATCGACAAGTATGGCGTCTTAACAACCAAATTTTGATGCCAAAGCTCCTCAGGATGTTTATCCAGAGACACGCCACTTGTAAACTGATTTGAACATTGAACATTCTTTGTTCTAGGAACACACTCCGAAAAACAAGAAGTAGTCACTGCTCCGGAGGATATAAGAAGTTGGTCCAAATGTGAACGACTTGAACTGGTTGCAGCAAAACTGTAACCAATCTAAGTGAAGTGTACAGACGCTGGATTGTATGTTGCTGCCGTCCAATCAGTGTCGAAACAATTGACCAGGTGTGTGATGAATAAAATGTACATGGTCACAAAGTGAGTCAGTATACGTGGTCACATCGTGGGTCTTTTTCAAGGGCGTTGTCACGCGATAACATTGCCTAAACAGCGTATTGGAAATCTCTAAGGAGAATACTAGCGAAATACCTGTAGAGCACCCCTCCCTCCTCCGTACTGAAGGCTCGCTGCAGATCTAAAGGACCTGCACGCTGTCATGAAATGAGGAAGAAGGTAGTGGGTACACCACGCGCGGCGAGTCGCTTGTGTGAACCTCCACGGTAGGCTTTGGTGAACCATTGGGCGAAGGAATTGCGCCTTACTAAGTGCTACTATGACTTTAGTCACCGATGACTGAGCATCATTGATTTGATAAAGCAGCATTTCAGAAAGAAAATTTCACAGGAAATGTGTCATTGGTACTATCTTTAAAGCGAGAGCTATATGACTTTAAAACACTTATTTTGTCATCTTCTTTTTGGATAGATATCTGATTATTTAGTTTTTTTTTTGCACGGAAGACAGGTGTATTGATAGTTTTTTTGAAGTTATATTGTCGATGTAGGTTTTTTTTCCTGAATGGTAGAAGCAACATTCCATTGAAATGTACATGTACACAAAAAAAATTAACCGTAGTTGTAAAATGTCAAAATTAACTTGGAATTTAATGTTACAATGTATAACATAGTTATTAAATGTATATTGTACTCTTAATAATAATGGCCTTGTTTTTGGACATGTATCAAAATGTATACAGGGATCGTATGTCGGTCACGTGTAAGACAGGGTGCATTATTTTAAAATAAGATAATCCAAGCAAACCTTTTCAATAATCTAATTGTTAACAGTACCACTGATTCAATGGCGTCAGTGCTGACAAATGCACATCCTTCTGGAAAGTCTGTGGGGCCTCCGTTTTAAAACGTATTGCAACAGTTGCGATGCATTGTTTGGACAGTGCAATGTTGTTCCCTCCGAACTTCGAAAAATAACAAAATTACAAATTTGAGTAAAAAATTAAATTTCATATTTTAAAATATGTAGCATCAAAAATATTGATTGGATAGCCAATTTCATAAGCTGCTTTTAGATGAATAGAATACTGAAATTGCTCAATCCGTTCAAAGAATATCACTATTTTAAACACAATGACCCTAAAACACGTCTCGTCCAAAAAAAATGCGATTTTAATAACCGTCGCCACAATTGCCTTAAGAAAAAAACGATAAAACCTTAGTTTAAAAGTTTGGAGTAAATCCGTTTGGAGGCCCGTCTTTAAAAAGATAGTGTGTTCTACAGTTGTTGAAACAAGTATTCTGTCTTTTCTTTGTTCCAAACAGTCAAAACACGCAATAAATTCGGTGTTTTTTTTTTTTACGAGACAGGTTTACACCTGCGTTTAAATGGTGATATTCTTTGAACGAATTTTTTGCTCATATTAAACTATCTTATTTTTATTTTTGGTTCTGCATATTTTTTTTTAAATATGAAATTTTTTTTTTAGGGTTTGGGTTCCGCTTTTTATATTCACCCTGTACCAACCGGTAATTATTTGGATTTTTTTTTATCACACCCTCTATTAAGCGATACACATTTTCTTTTAAGTAATGTATCTTGTTAATTTTGTGCTCAACGTGTAGCTTCAATTTCGTGGTACGTTTAGCTTCATTTCAAGTAAAGTTTATTAGTATTTTGTATCATTTAAGTACATGTATTTTCCATACCGCCCATTGTTGTAGATATTTACTTCCCTGCTAACCGTTCCTCCTGTAATTGTTAGATGTATTCAGTTGCATTTCCCTACAATAAGTTGTATGAAAAGAACATGTAAAAACAGCCTGCACCCTTAAAATCATGAATGATTTCAACTTTTGTATAACCTTCACTGTTTGAAAATCGTTGCCGCTCTGTCATCCATTAAAAGTACAAGTAGGGTATCAAAGTGGAAAGTAGTTCATTTCTGAATTAGCTTCTTTGGTACGACCAACTTGTTGTTTTACCTTCGTTCCCTTTGACAACGTGTGAAGCCATGAAACGCAAAACCCGTACCACATGTGAATTAAAATTGATAATTTTCGTATGAAGTAATAATTACCTTCAATTCAAAACTTTGATATGTACTTTTTGTTGTGACATATTGATCAGTGTTATATTCATATGTATGAGCATGACTCCTGTATGATACCATGTAGCTGATGAAGTAGTTATGAAATTAATTTGTATGAATTTATGTTACATGCAATAACGTAACTTAAAAGATGTATTGTTGCAAAATTATATTACATGACATATAAAATACATTTCCAGTGTGCATTGTACGTGATATTTTTCTAGCGCTCTGAGGGATTGGCTCAGTTACTCTATTACCATACATAGAACTTGTGAAATGTAAACGACCATAAATAATGGCTTTTAACTAAATTAAAAGAAGAATCAGTGAATCCTAAATCTGTGCTCATGGTTGTGTTTAAATTTTTTCCCAGTCATGTATATTACCAGCCGTCTAAGCCGTGTATTTTTTTTAATAAGTTTTTGCCTGAATTTAAAAATTCTTTTTTTCCAAGTTCATTACCATCGAGTTCAAACGTATCTTTATTTGATTAACTTTTGATTTTTGAAGATTTTTTTTACAATATTCTTTCTGATTCGTAAAAAATACGAATTTATACACAAGGTTGACCCGATGACCCGTGAATGTTTTTAAAAACTTTAATGTGAAATTGTGAAGAGTTTTGTTTAAACATTACGAATTTTTCAGATTTTAGATTTTGTCAAGTTCAAGTTCGTGACCAGGTCCTAACAGCTTATTTCTTTTATTAACTTTTGGATTCCAGAAGAGTTTTTTTACGAAATTCTGCCGGATGTTAAATGTTTTTAAGTTCAAGTTCAAAAAAAAAAATTTTTTTTTTCAAAATCTAAAGAAAATGCGAAATTTTACCGGATTGTTTTTGTAATCGCTATAGCTGTTTCAAGCTACGATCCATTTCAGCCTCAATTGTCTCGAATTCGGTCAGATTTGTTAAAAAAATTTCAAGTTCAAGTTCAAATTTTTTTTCTAAATTTCTTAAGAAAATTCGAAATTTCAGCGGATTTTTTTTCTTCGGTAATTCCTATAGCTGCGATTAGTTTTACATAGACTACTGTTTTCGATATTTATGAGGCGTAAAGTATCACATCTTAACCATTGTTATCATAGCGCAATCTCATAACTTGCTCCTCGCACAGGAGAGCAACCATCCATTTCTGCCTCAATCGTCTCTAATTCGTTCAGATTTTTAAAAAAAATTCAAGTTCAAGTTCAATTTTTTTTCTTCTAAATTTCTGAAGAAAATTCGAAAATTCAGCGGATTTTTTTTCTTCTGTAATTCCTATAGCTGCGATTAGTTTTACATGACTAACTGTTTATCGATGTTTATGAGGCGTAAGGTATCACATCCTAACCATTGGTATCATAGCGCAATCTCATAACTTGCTCCTCGCACAGGAGAAGCACAGGAGAAGCGACCATCCATTTCTGCCTCAATCGTCTCTAATTCGTTCAGATTTGTTAAAAAAATTTAAGTTCAAGTTCAAACAATTATTGTCTATCATTTCTTAAGAAAATTCGAAATTTTAGAGGATTCTTTTTTATTTATGTTATCGCCTATAGCTGCAGTTGGTTTTACCTAGACTACGGGGTTCGAGTATTCAACGGAACGAGCGTCATTAATGCTTAAATGCTGGGCTCTGGCTACATTTCTGCACGCATTTCACATCCGAAGCACGTGAAACAGAGCTGCGACAACACGGAAAGCGTATCAGCAGAAATGGATCGTTGCTTGGATGTTTCTTGTGTGAGGTTCAGGCAACGAGATTGCGCTATAATAACGACGGTCAGGATGTGATACCCTACGCCTCATACACCTCGAAAACAGTGGCCTTCTAAAATCAACCGTAGCTATAGAGGATAACACAAAACAAATCTGCTTAAATTTCGAATTTTCTTCAAAAATTTAGAGAATATTTTCTGAACTTGAATTTGAAGAATGTAACCAAATCTGACAGAATTCGAGACGATTGAGGCAGATATGGATCGTTGCTTGGATGTTTCTTGTGCGAGGTTCAGGCAACGAGATTGCGCTATAATAACGACGGTCAGGATGTGATACCCTACACCTCATACACCTCGAAAACAGTAGACTATCTAAAATCAACCGTAGCTATAGGGGATAACACACAAAAAATCTGCTTAAATTTCGAATTTTCTTTAAAAATTTAGAGAATATTTTCTGAACTTGAACTTGAGAAATGTAACCAAATCTGACAGAATTCGTGACGATTGAGGCAGAAATGGGTAAGTTGCTTGGATGTTTCTTGTGCGAGGTTCAGGCAACGAGATTGCGCTATAATAACGACGGTCAGGATGTGATACCCTACGCCTCATACACCTCGAAAACAGTAGCCTTCTAAAATCAACCGTAGCTATAGAGGATAACACAAAACAAATATGCTTAAATTTCGAATTTTCTTCAAAAATTTAGAGAATTTTTCTGAACTTGAATTTGAAGAATGTAACCAAATCTGACAGAATTCGAGACGATTGAGGCAGTAATGGATCGTTGCTTGGATGTTTCTTGTGCGAGGTTCAGGCAACGAGATTGCGCTATAATAACGACGGTCAGGATGTGATACCCTACGCCTCATACACCTCGAAAACAGTAGCCTTCTAAAACCAACCGTAGCTATAGGGGATAACACAGAACAAATCTGCTTAAATTTCGAATTTTCTTCAAAAATTTAGAGAATATTTTCTGAACTTGAATTTGAAGAATGTAACCAAATCTGACAGAATTCGAGACGATTGAGGCAGAAATGGGTAAGTTGCTTGGATGTTTCTTGTGCGAGGTTCAGGCAATGAGATTGCGCTATAATAACGACGGTTCAGGATGTGATACCCTACGCCTCATACACCTCGAAAACAGTAGTCTATGTTAAAACCAACCGCAGCTATAGGGGATTACACACAAAAAATCTGCTTAAATTTCGAATTTTCTTCAAAAATTTAGAGAATATTTTCTGAACTTGAACTTGAGGAATGTAACCAAATCTGACAGAATTCGAGACGATTGAGGAAGAAATGGGTAAGTTGCTTGGATGTTTCTTGTGCGAGGTTCAGGCAATGAGATTGCGCTATAATAACGACGGTTCAGGATGTGATACCCTACGCCTCATACACCTCGAAAACAGTAGTCTATGTTAAAACCAACCGCAGCTATAGGGGATTACACACAAAAAATCTGCTTAAATTTCGAATTTTCTTCAAAAATTTAGAGAATATTTTCTGAACTTGAACTTGAGGAATGTAACCAAATCTGACAGAATTCGAGACGATTGAGGAAGAAATGGGTAAGTTGCTTGGATGTTTCTTGTGCGAGGTTCAGGCAATGAGATTGCGCTATAATAACGACGGTCAGGATGTGATACCCTACGCCTCATACACCTCGAAAACAGTAGTCTATCTAAAATCAACCGTAGCTATAGGGGATAACACACAAAAAATCTGCTTAAATTTCGAATTTTCTTCAAAAATGTAGAGAATATTTTCTGAACTTGAACTTGAGGAATGTAACCAAATCTGACAGAATTCGAGACGATTGAGGCAGAAATGGGTAAGTTGCTTGGATGTTTCTTGTGCGAGGTTCAGGCAATGAGATTGCGCTATAATAACGACGGTCAGGATGTGATACCCTACGCCTCATACACCTCGAAAACAGTAGTCTATCTAAAATCAACCGTAGCTATAGGGGATAACACACAAAAAATCTGCTTAAATTTCGAATTTTCTTCAAAAATTTAGAGAATATTTTCTGAACTTGAATTTGAAGAATGTAACCAAATCTGACAGAATTCGAGACGATTGAGGCAGAAATGGGTAAGTTGCTTGGATGTTTCTTGTGCGAGGTTCAGGCAATGAGATTGCGCTATAATAACGACGGTTCAGGATGTGATACCCTACGCCTCATACACCTCGAAAACAGTAGTCTATGTTAAAACCAACCGTAGCTATAGGGGATAACACAGAACAAATCTGCTTAAATTTCGAATTTTCTTCAAAAATTTAGAGAATATTTTCTGAACTTGAACTTGAGGAATGTAACCAAATCTGACAGAATTCGAGACGATTGAGGAAGAAATGGGTAAGTTGCTTGGATGTTTCTTGTGCGAGGTTCAGGCAATGAGATTGCGCTATAATAACGACGGTCAGGATGTGATACCCTACGCCTCATACACCTCGAAAACAGTAGTCTATCTAAAATCAACCGTAGCTATAGGGGATAACACACAAAAAATCTGCTTAAATTTCGAATTTTCTTCAAAAATTTAGAGAATATTTTCTGAACTTGAACTTGAGGAATGTAACCAAATCTGACAGAATTCGAGACGATTGAGGCAGAAATGGGTAAGTTGCTTGGATGTTTCTTGTGCGAGGTTCAGGCAATGAGATTGCGCTATAATAACGACGGTCAGGATGTGATACCCTACGCCTCATACACCTCGAAAACAGTAGTCTATGTTAAAATCAACCGTAGCTATAGGGGATTACACACAAAAAAATCCGCCAAAATTTCGAATTTTCTTCAGAAATTAAAAAAAAAAAAAAAAAAAAATCTGAGAAAAATTCCTGATGAAAAAAAATATTCAAAAATGCACATACAATTAAAAAAATCACCGTCAAGAACTGGTGATGAACTTGAACTTGAATAAATTTAAACAAATCGTTCAGAATTTTGTGATGTATATAAAAAATCTTCAGAAATGCACAATTTAAAAAAAATCATCGTTAAGACTTGATGAACTTGAACTTGAAAAAAAAAAAAATCGGAGGAAAATTCCTGATGAAAAAATATTCAAAAATGCACATACAATTAAAAAAAAATCACCGTCAAGAACTGGTGATGAACTTGAACTTGAATAAATTTAAACAAATCGTTCAGAATTTTGTGATGTATATAAAAAATCTTCAGAAATGCACAATTTAAAAAAAAATCATCGTTAAGACTTGATGAACTTGAACTTGAAAAAAAAAAATCGGAGGAAAATTCCTGATGAAAATATTCATAAATGCACATACAATTAAAAAAAAAATCACCGTCAAGAACTGGTGATGAACTTGAACTTGAATAAATTTAAACAAATCGTTCAGAATTTCGTGATGTGTTATAAAAAAATCTTCAGAAATGCACAATTTAAAAAAAAAATCACCGTTAAGACTTGGTGATGAACTTGAACTTGAAAAAAATTCTGAATTTCGTTAAAGTGTATTACAAAAATTCTTCAATTTATATATATGTTTTAAATTATTCAATCAATTGAAAAACAACGGGAGTACCAAACAACAAAACATTGGGAAAGATTTTTTTTTCATTTATTATTCTTTTTATTTAGATTGAAGCCGTCATTTACGGTCCGCTTAAGATCTGAAAACCACTTTTTGTTTGTTTGAAGTTTCAAAGACATTTCAGGCTTTAATGAACAGTTGTTTCACTTATATACACTTCGAACCCAACAAGCACGCAAGTCAAAAAATGTACATTGCAAAATTGGCTGAACGTTGAATAAAAAACGAGAATGCATTTGCACAGTTTTTGAACGATACGGAGTCTTCTACATTTCAATAATATTCTAAACATAATTACTGTACTTAGTTTTACAGATTTGTAACATTTGACGTAAAATAACGTATAAAAGTATCTCCGTTTTCAAAACTGCAAAAACTACTACTTTGCAACAACTTTATCAATAAGGAAACCTTGACATAATTCTTTGATAGGCCAACTTTAATTGAAACCCAGTAATTTTAATTGACACAGGTGGTTTATTAGCCAAAATAAATTAGTAAAGATGCCCGTCAGCTAGTAGAAACGAAAATCTCAGTTGACCTAATTTTACGCCTTTCCCGTACTTTTGTACATTTTTAAGGGGCAGGCGTGTTTGCATCTCTTCGTGAAGATGCAATCATCGAGATGCCTTTTTCTGGCGTCATTAATGTTGACCATGTTTTTAAACACAATAGGCAAAAAATACTCAAATTCTCAATTTTGATATGCCCATTCCTTCGTGAAAATTGTGACCAAATTACAAAACAATAGTCATTGCACTCTAAAAATCCTCCGTGGTAGCAATCGTCGGATAAACGCGTCCTTCCATCAATATGGCAACAGTACTGTGTTGAATAAAATCGTCTGTAAGATGCAGCTCAATGACAACCCTGTAATAAGGAAGAATAAACAACAGAATTGTTTGTTTCAAATAATTGGCGACAAAAAAACAGTCGTGTGAAAAATTTACATTCCTAATTTGGCTTGATGGCGCAATCATGCCCTATGAGTTGACACAATTAGCCTTTACATGTCTCGCCAGCGTCCTGCCCGGTAAATTTCTTTGCTGGGCAGCTCTGTGATAAATGGTAGGGCGTTTTTCGAGCTCCAGGAATGTTTGGGTTCTCCCTGGACAATTGTCGCAACTTGCATCGTTCATGAGGAATCACAGTTCCCAAAAGAACAAATCAAATGCTTTGCCTCACTACCTGGATCGTCGTATATAGTTCAGCCGGAAAAAGGGGTATCGTGCGGCCTCGGAAATCAATTTCTAATCAACGTCTCTAGGTCAAAACAAATGCGTAGAAAACGATTTGCTATGTTAAAATGTTTTTAAAATGTCCCACGTATTGTTTTTATGGAAATAAGTGCCTTTAATTTTTAATGTTTTATCACTCTAACCTGGCAAATTTCGAGCAGTAAAACTGAATGATGGACATTTTGTTTGAGCACTGTTCGTGTCTGAGTACTTACATTATAATATTATGTTGACGTACTCAAATGATTAATACCAAAGAAATTTCAATTGATGATGCACATAGGCTGACATGAGGCTTTCACTAACGTCAGACAATGATTGATACGTCAGATAATGATTGATAGCCGAATTATGGCCACGCCAACAAAAGGAACCACATACACATATTTTTATTGGGGGGGGTCACTTTTTTTAAATGACCTAATGATGATAAAAAAAGTCAGCAGTTTCATTGTATCTGTGGGCTGTGGGCACGTGCATACACATGTGAGGATTAAACCAAGCATTCCGTCACTGGGCTTGTCCTAGATATACAAATATCAAACATCCCCTTCCAGGCAAGACTAAACTTTCCCAAACAACAAACCACAACGAGTTCACTTATGTTTGACATTTGAGTTTCCTTAATTGTGAATGAATAATACATGTTATACATACCTATTGTCAAAAATATGCCGGCAACATTTGCTGACATCTCTCTGTCTTTATCTGGAAACCGTCTATCCGTCCTTATCATGTAGAACACATTCACATACACTGCTCCTCTCAGACAACCAGCTACTACCATTAACGCTGGCAATAGTGCAACTGGGAGAAATTTGAACTGGGGAAACCAAAATAAGAACCCAATGGTTAAGTACATCTATTGAATTAATATTCATCAATAGAGCTATTACCATACCATGTAAGTATGGACAGAATTTATGCATTCATGCAACACCGCTGCCCTAATCCCTACAAGCTAGGTTATTTCTGTCCAAAGAGGGTCATTCACAGATTGTCAAGGACAACTGTATGTTTTTGTTTATGAATTCAATTATGTCTGGGCTATTTGAATATTTAATTGATATTTTTCTAATGTTAGTGAACTAACACAGGGCTGTCTCAGCAATTGTTTTTGGTGATATCTGGCACGTACAGTTACAAGTACAAGTTTCATCCATTGCATTAGATATTGGGATGTGTACAATTGAGGGTGGTGTCATACAATAATACATGATGCCATTTTCATAGGGCTTCAAATTATGCATCTTCAACGTGACATCACATGACACACGATGACGTCACTTAAACTTTCATATACAATGTAATATAACACATCCCGTTTTAGGTACATACCAAGTTTCAACCCAATGGAACCAGGAAACAATTTTCACCTAGTGGGTTTGTGGTGTGTGTGCCCTTAGGCACGACACTTTGTCACTCATTGCTTCTCTCCACCCAGGAGTAAATGGGTACCTGTGAAGGCAGAGATGGTTATTGTGATTGTTTTAGTTGCTTTTGGCCGAAATGGCAGCATCAAGCTGTATACTCCCCAGGGAGCGAGATGGTATTTGGAATGTTTCATTGGCCCAATAAGCAGGGTTAACGATGTAGCAGCTTGAGCACCAATAATGGTGGATACGCGTGCTTTATAAAAACATTTTTCGTTCGAATTCACCGATTCTTATATTCAATTCGTCCGGCAACATCGATTTAGTACATTTTCCAATGTTTTAATTTCGTCCTTTGTCCGGCAACATCGATTTAATACATTTTCCAATGTTTAATTTCGTCTTATGTCAAACAATTTCAAATTTAGTCCAAACAAATTCAAACAATGAGCATACTTTTTGACCAGGAGTATTAGATTTCGTCTCGTCTACGCCAAATCATGTTATTGAGAACTAAAACTTGTACGGGTGTAACAATGGATAACACTCTCGAAAATAAAAAAGTATATTTACAAACAGTTTGAACAGTTTCATTTCCAAATTTAGTTTCGTACAGATGGTACAGCTTCTCGATTTCTTTACTGTCAAGAGCTTCGGTATGTTTAACGGTATATTCCTTTCCCAAGTACTTTCATGAGTTTCCGGCTGCTACGACACCGCAAAAACGATCTTTGTGTTCTGTGTTTTGATCTTGTTCGTTCGTTAATGCAAGTTTTTGGTCCTCCAATCTAATTAGAAAGGAGTTTAATTTTAGTGTCGCTGAAGCAACAAAGTTGTAGATTAATCGAGAAAATTATAATAGCCAGAAATTGTAAATACTCGAATATTGCTATCATTTACTTACAGCAATACATTTGTATTTTGTTGACGAGCTAGGTCATATTTGTTGACGAGCTAGGTTACATTTGTTTAAAAACCTGCTAAAAGGTGCTAAAAGAAAAAGATTTTTTAAAATTATTTTATTATCATATAATAAATAGAAACAATGAAAATATTAAACGTTTGTGTTTAATGTCATAAAACATGCAAGCTTAATCAATTTGGTATGAAATCAAATGGTGAAAGTTATAAGACTTGTATCGCGTGTAGGGATGAAATAAACCAAAAATTATTCGCATTATTATTCGCAATCAAACGTTTGTAAAGTTTGTAAAAGTGACGATCTAAGCATCAAACCAAACCGTGAAAAATACAAAATCTGCGCTGAGTGTAGAAGTAAAATGAAACAACAACGACAATGTCTACACGGTCGCCGACGCGACATATGTAAAGATTGCAGCGGTTCTGGTATCTGTCCACATGGACATCAACGCTACTATTGTAAAGATTGCGGTGGTTCTAGTATCTGTACACACGGTAAAATACGCAGCTTATGTAAAGATTGCGGTGGTTCTTGTATCTGTACACACGGTCGTCAACATAACAGATGTAAAGATTGCGGCGGTTCTAGTGTATGTTGCCACAATCGCATCCAAGGGCAATGTCGAGAATGTAAGAGTGATGATGGTAAGGCTGTAGACTTCACTATTTCGAGATGGATCAGGAGTTGCCGCCGCTACGATAAAAATAAAAATTTATTTAATCCAGACCTCTTTATCGATACTGACTTTTTAAGAGGTCTTACTGAAGACTACAAACATTGTTATTACGATGATTGCCGAGTCGTTTTACAATACGATCGTTATGGCGGTGATATGGGAACGATTGAGCGTTTAAATAACTCGATCGGGCACGTTAAAATTAATTGCGTGTTAGCCTGCAAAACGTTTAAAGAAAATCAAACAAGCAATAAACAAAAGTTTTAATCTCACAGCAAAAGGCTCTTATAACGATTAAACGTTATAAGAGCATTTTTGCCTTATTTTTAAAGCGTGTCCAATTTGTTGACGGATCTAACTTCCAGCGAGTGGATTTTATCAAACAGGTATTGCATTTAACCCCGGTATTTATTTTTGACGGCGATAGCTAGGTCTCTGTTGGTCACCACTTCGTATTCGAGAGTCAAATCTGAGATAAAATACATCGCCGACGTATTTGTACTGTTGACGACTTTTTCGTGATCGTTAAACTTTCTCTCGTACGTCAGAGGTTGGTTTAAACCGCTGGAGTAAAAAGGGTGATGTGAAGTCAGTATGTCAATGTCCAGGGGAATACAATATCTGTTACCACAGGCATTCGCGAAAGCTTCATCTTTACCGTTGTTGCACCCACGTGAGCATCCCCATCCTAAAACGTTGAGAGTAGACACCGAATTTAAAGACGCTTTTAAACAATTGATGACCTAAAAAAAACGTCGAGATTATCGTAGGCGAACCCGGAAACCACCGATCGCAGGTTATCGTAGAAAGATTTAATCGAACGCTAGCCGAGAGACTGTTTGGTCATCAGTACGCTCAAGAAATGTTTAATCCCGAGAGTAGAAACACGCAATGGGTCGAGCGATTACCCGGCGTGATCCAGGCAATAAACGACGAAACTACAAGATTATTAGCTAAAGCACCGTCACAGGCGGTTAAACTAATCGTCTTACCAAACACGCTGTTTTACCAAACATCGTCTTACCAAACATCGTCTTACCAAACACGCTGTTGTTCATCAAGTTGATGAACAGAAAGACTGTTTTAACAGTCTTTCTCAAAATCAGAGGTCGCTTTTGTTCTGAGTTGCGTGTTTTTGTCGATGTAAGTTGCCATCCAAGGCATTTGCTTAAATTGTAGCGCTCGATGCACCTTTTTAAGTTTCAAATCGAGTTTCAGATACAACTACAACGTAACGTAGTGCAAAACATATTTTTGTTTAGGATTAAGGGTACACGTTAATTTTTGCACGTTGCTACTAGGTTCGGTATCCAATAAATCGTTTGGATAATCAGACATCCATTCTTTTGGTATGACGATATTTTCTGGCGCTAGCGGGTAATCGGTGTGCAGATCGTGAAGATCGTCTGGGTATTCTTAATCTACTTCAAAACAGTAACCAGTGTTTGACGTTTTCCTGAGAGATAATATTTTTTCCGCGGTAAATTGTGTTGTGGTGTACCATTTAAAATCTTTGTATCCAATAACAACGAGTCGGTGTTTTGACGATTAAAATGTTCTCTGAGTAGTTTAAACGACTCTCTTGGACAAGCTTTAGATAATCTATCCAACGAAGACGCCACAAAATTAAACGAGTCTAAAAATCGCATATTTCCGATCGAAAACGAAATATACTTTTCCGAATTTTGAGCGATAACTTGTATTTCCTTTTCATCATCGTACTCTGAAATACTCTGCATGATCAAGTGAGCGTCGTAATTTTGTAGATTGTGAAAGTCGGCCGGTATGGGGGTAAAACCTGGTTTAACTTGTAATTATTAGATTGCAGTAGGCGTGCGCGGCACCTCTATATCTACCCGTGACGTGACAGTGATCTCTCACCTTTCTAAATTTGTTGATTCTCTTTTTACAGTCGAGACATTTAGACTCGATAAATCCATTTTTGTTTTCGTACTGATTCGTTTTTCTGGTTTTTTTTTTTTTTGGGGGGGGGTTTCTTGGCACTGACAGTTGCTCGAGTAATTGGGATAAATTGGTGTTTCGTAAATCCAACACGCGTTTGTTTTATTATGATGTTCTTTAGCTCGCTCGTTAAATTTCATGGGTTGGGTTTTTTTAAATATACAATTTATGTCGCTTTGTATTTTTAACATTTTATTTACAAACTTTGATGCAGCATCTTTACCTCTATAAGTATCTTGATACGCATTGGTGCCGTCGCATCTAACTACTACCAACGAGTGTAACCGCTTGCTTTGTGAATGTTTGTCTTTTGCGTGTTGTCCTTTTTATCGTCCGAGTTTTTTTCTAATATCGATTCAAAGTCGGCGTAAACTACAAATGGTGCTTTTTTTTTAAACCTGTAGTTTTTAAATTCTAATATTGGCAGATCGTTTTCGTCGACTACCCACTCTCTTTTTACGTATTTTCGCTTAGCGGTAGGAAATACAATCTTTGACGGATGTGAATTTATGCCATTACAATCGCGGTCATGTGTCTATCTAATTAAACTTGCGTTCTATGATGGCACAGGCACTTTCGACAAAAACGTTTCTTACTTTTATGTTTTGTAATGTTGTAAACCAATCTCGACAAATTATTTATCCAGCAGTAGTGATGCTTGTTGCCTCAGAAAACAAAAACAGATCGATAGGTCGTGACTCTTCGCTGTAGTTTTTAGACACGTATAATGAAGGGATTAAATGAGAACTTTCCCGTTTGAAATTTAATCCTGGTTATATGAGATTACGTGAGATCCCGCCACGCGCATGCGCAGTCATTATTAAAAGCATAAGGATATGAGATCAAATAAAAACCGAATCCCATGGTAAGGTATAAATATAGAGAACTGA